GAAGGCAAACAGGGAAAGGTGCAGAGAAAAGGAGGTGGCAGTGAAGGCGACCGTGTCAGCCAGGGTGCTCAGAGAAGGTTTGATGCCTGACTGATGAGAAGGATGTAAAGATTTGTGATGTGTAAAGCACTTGTCACAGTTTGTGTACCATGTGTTGAACGCTTGATGAATCCCGCTATTATTACTATTGTTATTGTTTTCTTGGTTTGCCAAAACTGGCTTTATGACCTTGGGTGGGTCATCTCACTGCTCTTGGGAAAAAAAACCCATTGCTGTCTAGTCAATTGTGACTCATAGTGACCCTACAAGACAGAGTAGAATTGCCCCATAGGGTTTCCAAGGAGCGGCTGGTGGAGTTGAACTGCTGACCTTATTGGTTAGCAGCCGAATGTTAACTGCTTTTGGGAGTGGAACTAAATGTTTTCCCTCCAGCCTTGGAGGTTGCACAGTTCTCAGTAATTTCTAGCATTGGTCTCCTCCTGGCTACCCATGATCTCTTTGGGGTATTGCTGTTAGCTGCCCTCGGTCAGCCCTGACTCATGGTGACCCCATGCACAATGGAGCAAAATGCTGCTCTGTTGTGTGCCATCCCCGTGATCAATTGTGGATAGGACCGTTTGATCCATAGGGTTTTCACTGGCTGATTTTTGGAAGCAAATCAGCGGGCTTTTCTTCCTAGTCGGTCTTAGTCTGGAAGTGCCGCTGAATCCTATTCAGCATCATAGCATCACACAAGCCTCCTCTGACAGATGGGTGGTGGCTGTGCATGAAGTGCATTGGCTGGGAATGGAACCCGCGTCTCCCACGTGGGAGGTGAGAAGGTAGGCAGAATGAGCCCTCTTTTACATTCTCAATAGAAGATTCATTGGATGAAGTTTTTGTGGAGGAACAATGCCCATGGCTATTAACATTTATTGAGCCCTTTCTGTTGCCCAGTACAGAGTGAGGTTTTCATAGAATGTGGGCACTTTCCTTTCCATCCCAGATGGGAAGCACCCCCCGGCAGGTGCACAGTGGGGTTGTTGGCCTCTCGTTCGACTGTTAGTGGAGCATTGACAAGTAGGCTTATTTTGTTACGCCTCAGAATGCTGCTAACCTCCGCTGGCCCGGGCTGATGAAAGAATGTATTCCTATTGTTATTTGACAGTAGGGCCTTCTTGAGGCCTTCTCGAGGCCAAGGGCAGCCTGTTGCAGAATCAAAGGGGAGGTTACTACCCTTGGCCCATCTTTATTTCATGGAGGAATGTAGGAATTGGTCCAGCAGCCACCCACATCCTCCTTGTCTACCAGCCTGTGTTGTTCACTGTCTCCTTCCCCCAAGAACAAGCTCCTAGACTCGCCAGACCAACTCAGATAAAATAAAGCCTCCCAGTCATATCTTTACGATTGATGTAATCAAAGGGAGGTTTTTTTTTTTTTTTTTTTTCTTCCTGCTGCATATTGAATAGGGCTGTCATGAGGGCCAGGGGTAGTTCTGAGCCTGGCATTGTGGTGGAAAGGGGCCTTTAAACTGGAAGGCTAATTCATTGTGGGCAGCCTGCTTTTTAGCCATGTTCTGGCTATAGCCTGCCTCTGGGTTTCCAGCTGGGCTTCCGTGCTCCGTTTGCTTTCTCCATTCCTTGATCACCTATGTAGGTAGGACGCCAAAGACATCTTACTATGATGCCTGTCTTGGCAATATTATTTGACTGGGTACTCCTTTCTTTTTTTCCTCATTTCCTTGTCCCTTCTCTGGTCTGGGCTCTCATCACTTAATAACATAAACTCTTGCCTCTCTTCTTTCTCCTTCCCTCCTCCTCTCCTTCCCTTTCTTTCCACCCACTCATCTACCCATCCACCACTGTCTTAGTCATCTAGTGCTGCTATAACAGAAATACCACAAGTGGATGGCTTTAACAAAGAGAAATTTATTCTCTCACCGTCTAGTATGCTAGAAGTCCAAATTCAGGACTTCGTTTCCGGGGGAAGACTTTCTCTCTCTGTTGGCTCTGGAGGAAGGTCCTTGTCATCAGTCTTCCCCTGGTCTAGGAGCTTCTCTGTGCACGAACCCAGTGTCCAAAGGACATGCTCTGCTCCTGGCACTGCTCTCTTGGTGGTATGAGGTTGCCATGTCTCTCTGCTCGCTTCTCTTATATCTCAAAAGAGACTGGCTTAAGACACAATCTAATCTTGTAGATTTCATCAATATAACTGCCACTAATCCATCCATTGACACCATAGTGATAGGATTTACAACACATAGGAAAGTCACATCAGGTGATAAAATGGTGGACAATCACACAATACTGGGAATCATGGCATAGCCAAGTTGACAGATATTCTTGGGGGACACAATTCAATCTGTGACGACCACCCTACCAACCCACTCCTGTAGCACCCCATCTACCTACCTACCTACCTATCTACCTAACTACCTACCTAGAGGCAGTTGTGGTTCAGTGGTAGAATTTTCACCTCCTATGTGGGAGACCCCGGTTCAATTCCCAGCCAATGTACTTCATGTGCAGCCACCTGTCTGTCAATGGAGGCTTGCTGTTGCTGTGATGCTGAATGGATTTCAGTGGAGCTTCCAGACTAAGAGGGACTAGGAAGAAAGGTTGGTGGTCTGCTTCTTAAAATCAGTCAATGAAAACCCTGTGGATCACAATGGTCCACTGTGCATGGGATCACCATGAGTTGGGCGATGACTCGATGGCAGCTAACAACTACAACCTACCTACCTGCCTGCCTACAATAAATGTTTTCTCAGTTCTACCATGTGCCAAGGGGCCCTGGTGACACAATGGTTAAGCGTTTGGCTGTTAACCGAAGGGTCGGCAGTTTGATCACACCAGTCGCTCCATAGGAGTAAAGACCTGGCGATCTGCTCCTGTAAATGTTACATCCTAGGAAACACCATGGAGCAGTTCTACTCTCTCCTGTAGGGTCGCTATGAGTCGGAATTGACTCAGTGGCACCCAGCAACAACACCATGTGCCAGGCACTGTGCTAGGCCCTGGAGATAAAGCAGTGAATAAGATCCTCACTAGTGTAGAGACAAGTAATGACACAATACTTATTTAATTACGACTGGGAAAAGCATTGCAGAGGAGAAGTCCAGGGAGCTGCCAGTCGCTTATCCTATTTTCTGGAAGGTCAGCAACTAGCAAAAACAATAAGAACAGCTTTTCAATTCTTGTTGAGTCATAGATAGACTGATTATATTTGAGAAACGTTTGTGTTCATAGTGCTTGGTTGAGACCTGGTGCAGGTCAGAAGTTGCAAGTGTCCACAAGTGTGAATACATTGTTAATGAGACTGGCTGTGGTTAACCTCGTGATAGGCAAGGTGTGACTGTGGGCTGCTGATGACAAGGACTTTTTTTCTCCAGAGAATTCGTTGTTACCAGTTGCCATCAAGTCGATTCCAACTCATGCCGACCCCATGTGTTACAGGGTTTTCCTGGCTGTAATCTTAAGAGAAGAAGCACTGGTGGTGTAGTGGTTAAGCGCTCGGTTGCTAACTGAAATGTTGGTAGTTTGAACCCACCAGCGTAAGAGTTACAGCCTTGGAAGCCCTGTGGGGCAGTTCTACTGTGTCCCGTAGGATCAGTGTGAGTTGGAATCAACTTGATGGCAGTGAGTTTGGGGTTTGAAGCTTAACAGAGGCAGATCGCCAGGCCTTTTCTTCTTTTTCTTCTGTGGTACTGCTGGGTGGTTTAGAATTGCCAACCTTTTGGTTAGCAATTGAGTGCAAACCATTTACGCCACCTAGGGAATTTAATGCCTTTATAATCCTGAAGGATGGTTAAGCTGCCCTTCATTTAGGAAAAGGTGGTACAAGAGAGAGTTGAGGTCACAGGGGGATCAGTCTGGGAGGGAACTAAGCCGACTTTCTGAGGCTGGCAGCAAATTGGTCGGCAGACGTCCTTGTTACCCTGGATATACCTCCCCCAGTAGGTTTTGCCCCCCCATTAGAGCGACGGCGGGTTAGATTACCAACCAACTTGTTTATGAGCAAAGATGAATCCATTGGCAAACATATTTTTCCTTATGAGATTCCCCATTTTCATTTAATGCCTTTTTATTTATGTGTTTCTTTTGAGTAATTGCTCTGTGTGTTGGTCCTGGCAATTCTCTGCGGTTTGGATTTGCAAACATTGGCATGGAGCTTTGGAATCAACTGAGGCTGGGCAGGAAGTCTAGCTGTCACTTCCTTTGTCTTAACGCCGATTATTCTCTTGAAGAGCTTCTATGTCACACTGTATGCTATCAAAGGTGCCTCAGGCATGAGGAATAGGTAGAAAGAATTTGGCTTGTGAGCGATTGCATAACTCCAGCATAGGCTGGAGTCTCGAAACCCAAGGTCTGAGGTAGGATTGGCCTTGCGCTAACTAGTGCCATGGAGTCGATTCATGGCAACCCCATGTGCATCATAGTAGAACTGTGCTCCATAGAGTTTTCAATGGCTGATTTGTTTTGGAAGTAGATTACCTGGCCTTTCTTCTGAGGCACCTCTGGGTGGACTTGAACCTCCAACCTTTTGGTTAGCAGCCAAGTGCATTCACCATTTGCATCACCCAGGGCCTCGAGTTGGGCCACGCAATACTTCTCACCACTGCTGCGGCACTTGCATGCTGGGACTGAGGGATACTAATTTCAGCAAACCGTGTTTAATCATCGATACCCTGTAAACCGAGCTCTCCTTTTTTCTTTTTTCAAGGAATCAGGATTCCTGGAGTAAATGAATCTGGCCATGTTAAGCAGCCTCTGCTCTATGAAAAAAAAAAAAAATCCACCATCCCAAACCCCAGGCTGTTAAAACCTGATGTTTTCTGTTGTGGGGAGAGGGGTGTTTTTGCTATAAATGAAAGACATGACAGGGGGTATTTTGAAGCTTTGTTTTGGTTATTGTCTATTCTGCCAACAAGTAACATCTGTATTTATTTTCCAAACTCCCCCAATGGCTGATTTGCATCTGTTTAGTTCTCTGAGTTAACATTTCATTTCCTGACTTTATAGGTTGCTATAAAATCCATTCGTAAGGACAAAATTAAGGATGAACAGGACATGGTTCACATCAGACGAGAGATTGAGATCATGTCATCCCTCAGCCATCCTCATATCATCAGTATTTATGAAGGTCAGTGATTTTTTTTTTCACCCCCATATCAGTTACCATTTCTCATACCACAGAGCTTGCCAAGACTTTTAGGTAATTGCCCTTCTGGGCAGGAGCCAAGTATTTTTCCTCATGATGCAAAAACAGGCGGGTGTTATCTCTTACTTGGTTACCTTGAATGCAAGCAGACACATGTAATACAGCTCACTTTGGTCGTAAAATATCTCTGATGGGTGCCTTGTTCCATCTTACCAGGTCTTTGGTGGTTGCTAAGCAACCTGCTTTATTGAAAGTTGGCATATGAGACAGCCATGAGTTCTGAAAAGTGGCAGTTTGCTGGATGAACCAGTAACAGTGACTACGTTCCCCTAAGTGGATCGCTCCGGTGGTGGTGTCATGAGTTACTCAAAGTTATGCTCTTTGAGTTAGGAATTAACTCTGAGCAGGTCCAGGTAGCACAAGAAAAGAGGGGCTTGTTGGTGCAGTAGCTGCTTGTTGGTGTGGCAAATGGATGCCAAGTTGTAGTTGGTGTTTGTTAAAGGGTGGAGTGGAGAAAAGCTTATAAAATGCTTACATTTTGATCCTCCACAAAAAGAAAGAAAGAGAGAGAGAAAAGAAGCAAGGGGAGGGGGGCATAGACCTCCTACAGCCTTTTTTTTCTTTCAATATCCTGTAAAAAATTTACACAAGCAATATGTGTTTCTCGTAAAAATGATTGAAATACAAACATTAAAAAGTAACTTCTGATCCGACTCCCAGAGGTAACAGTCTGATTGATAGCTACCTCTATTTTTATTGATCTCTACATCTCTATGTGGTTTTTATCCCAAGTCAGGTCATACTGTTTATACTGTTTTTTTTTAACTTGATTTTTTTTCATTCGTTATATCATGCATCTCTTCCTATGTTAACAAATATTCCCCCATAAAGACATTTTTAAAAGGCTTTATACTATTCCATTTATGGACATACCGTAATTTATTGGATCTAATTCCCCTTGCCAAACATTTAAGTTGTTTCATATTTCTAGTTATTATAAACAGGGATTTAGTGACCCTCCTTGTACATCATTTTTACATCTCTTTCTTTTTTTTATTATTGTAGTTTAAGTGAAAATTTACATCTCAAGTTAGTCTCTCATACAAAAATTTATACATACATTGTTATGTGACCCTAATTGCTCTCCCCATACTGTGAGAGCAGACTCCTCCTTTTCACCCCTGATTCCCCATGTCCATTCAACCAGCTCCTAACCCTCTCTGCCTTCCCATCTCACCTCCCGACAGAAGCTGCCCGTTTAGTCTCATGTATCTACTTGAGCTAAGAAGCACCCTCTTGACAAGTATCATTTTATGTCCCACAGTCCAGTCCAATCTTTGTCTGAAGAGTTGGCCTCAGGAATTGTTTTAGTTCTGGGTTGACAGAGAGTCCATTTTTACATTTATTTCTGATGATTCTGTTTGCATAAATTCCTAGTCTTGGATTTGCTGAGTCCAAGTGTTTCTGCAGAATATTTTTTATTTATGGTTGGGTCAGAAAAATGAACCTGTGTTTAATTTCTGGTCTGATCATAAGAAGTTATCAGGTAAGGCTAAGAGGAAAACAGATGGTGACCCTAAAATTTTTCTTCATTTAGTTCCCTGTTGTTTTTTTTTTTGCCATTCTTTTTTTTTTCTTGCTGCTTCTATTTTTGCTTCTTATCTAGAAGTAAATGTTGGTTATATCTTTTAACTTGAGCTTTCTAAAGCTCATTTTTGGAGCTCTTGAGGACAGGATTTTTAAGGGAAATTTATTCATTCCACAAATGTCTCTTGCAGTAATTCTCCCTGGGCCAGCAGATTCAGCATAACTTGGGATAGTTAGAAATGCAGGTTCTCAGGCCTCTTCCTGGACCTGCTGAATTAGAAACTCTGGAGGCGCGACCCAGCAGTGTATGTTTTGACACGTTTGAAAACCACTGGTCTATTGAGTGTTTACTTCTTGTAAAGCACTGTGTTACACGTGGTTGGAAATATAAAGATGAATATGATATGGATCCCATATATAAGAAACAATATAAGGCAAGAGGGAAATAGTATTAAGTAGATACAGAAGCCTATTCTGGAGTCCTTGGTGGTGCAAACAGTTAATATATTGGAGGTTGAAGTCCACCCAGAGGCACCTCAGAAGAAAGATCTGGCAGTCTACTTCCAAAAAATCAACCACTGAAAGCCCTATGGAGCACAGTTCTACTCTGGCACACAGGAGGTTGCCATGAGTTGGAGGTGACTCAACGGCAACTGTTTATTTATTTATTTTGGTTATCATCGTAAGTAGTTCTTAACCTGGGGTCCATAGATAAGGAGGTTCATGGGTGAACTGCAGGGGTCTGTAAACTCCCTGCAAGAGTATATGACTGTGTTGTCTAATACAGAAGGAACTAGCCACAAGTGGCTATTTACATATAAAATTAATTAAGAATTTAAAAAAATTAAAAATTCCATTTCTCATTTGCACTGGCTGCATTTCAAGTGCTCAGTAGCCACAAGTGGCTAGTGGTTCTCATAGTGCAATTATAGAACATTTGCATCATTGTAGAATGTTCTGTTGGACAATGTTGTTTTATATGTTACGTACATGTGTTAATTTTTTCTAAGGGAGAGAGCACGAAGCTTTCATCAGATTCTCAAAGGAATCCCTGACCTCAGATAGGTTAAAAATACCACTACTGTAAAGTGTTTGTGTCCTGCAGGGTACCATACAAATAAAAGGTATTGTTTTTATCCAGAAAACTCCCAGGGACTTAAATGTGGTCTTTTTTCCTTTTAATTTCCTAGAGATCTCCAGTTTCTGTTCTGTTCCATATTCCTTCTCCCATGCAAGTTCTTTCTCTCCCATATTCAACTAAATAACTGTGGGGGAGGGCCGCTATCCTCCCTTCCCGAGGGGGTAGGAATAGGAGATCTCCAAGATTCTGTTGCATCTCTTACATCTCTAACTGTGAACCCACGATCCTCACGTCCTGTGACTTCGTCTGCCTCACTGCCACAGGAGCCCAAGGCTCACTCCAACGTCATCCGTAGAACTCTTTATGGTTTCAAAGCCTTCTCACATTTAATCCCCCCAGTGAACCTGTGGGATAAGCTGGCCAGGTGTTCCCATTTTGCAGTTGTGGAAACTGAGGCTCTGGGAGGTTAGTGACTTGCTGGGTATCACAGTTAATTGATGGCCTTGGCACATAGGTTCTCCTGACTCCATTTTGTTTCTTCCTCTGCCCAGCCTCAGCCTGTATTTCTGATACTGTTTCTTGTTTGATGATCTCTGCAGCCCACTTCTCTGTCCCTCAGCGTCCTCCTCAGCCTGGGCCTTTCAGGCCTGACATTGCTGCCCCTGCCACAACCCTGGGGCATGGCACCAGCACTGTGGTGGGAGCAGTGGTGGTAGGACCTGAGTCTGTGAGCCAATATGTAGGCTTCTCTGCCTCTCAGAGTAAAAGGGGAGCCTTCTATCTGAAAGCTGATTGATTGTTTGATAGGCCAATCAAGAGCCTAGCTGAGTCCAGAAATGCATTAATTTCCTTAGTGAAAAACCAATGCCTAGGTACTTAAGTGGCTGTTTGGACATTAGCCGAGGGAAAAGACGCTATTAAAGAGCTTTACAATTTTTTCTTCAGCAAAGACCTTTATGATTTAAAGAACACACCCAAAGCCCATTGCCATCGAGTCGATTCTGACTCATAGCAACCTTGTAAGACAGAGTAGAACTTACCTGTAGGGTTTTCAAAACTGTAAATGCTTACGGAAGCAGATTGCCGCATCTTTCTCCCGAGGAGCGGCTGGGGTGTTCAAACCACTGGCTTTTCACAGTTAGCAGCCGCGCGCTTAACCACTATGCCAACAGGGTTCCATAAAGAACACGCAGCAAAGCTTAATCTTGGCTTGTATCATCCAGCAGTCACAGTCCTAGATATTTACCCAAATGAATTGAAAACTTATGTCCACAAACGCATGCACGCAAATGCTTATAGCAGCTTTATTCATAATTGCCAAGAATTGGAAGCAATCAAGATGTCCTTAGGTGAATGGATAAACAAACTGTGGTACAACCATACAATGGAGCATTATTCAGCAATAAAAAGAAATAAGCGCAGGGCGTTTAAAGGCAGTGGAACTATTCTGCATTGCACTGTAATGGTGGATATATGACATATGCATTTGTCAAAACCCATAGGACTGTACAAACCAAAGAATGATCCTTAACGTAAACTATCTCACTTTACCAGTTGCTGTTGAGTCGATTCTGACTCATGGCAACCCCGTGTGTGTCAGACTAGAAATGTGCTCCATAGGGTTTTCCATGGCTGAGTTTTTGGAAGTAGAGCTCCAGGCCTTTCTTCCGAGGCACCTCTGGGTGGACTCGAACCTCCAAACTGTCAGTTAGCAGTTGAGTGCATTAACCATTTGCACCAGTCAGGGACTCCAAAGTAAACTATGGACTTCAGTTAATGATAATGTATCAGTATTGGTTCATCAATTGTAACATGAATGCAGGAAGTTAATAATAGGATAAACTGTAGTCAGAGGAGAGGGAGACTATGTGAACTCTGTACTTCCCCTGCAATTTTTCTGTAAACCTAAAACTTCTCTAAAAAACTGTATTTTTAAACACACACACATAAATAGCAGCAGCAGCAAGGACAGTAACAGCAGCCACATGACAAAGCATTAATGTGCCTAACCCTGTATATTAAGGAAGTATGGGCTTTTATGAAGTTAAGGCACCATCTTGGACTATACTAACCAATGATAGTTCCAGAGAAAAAGTAATTCATTCATTAAAAAAAAAAAAGAGAACGAATTAAATGCCTGTTCAGCCACATGGCACACAATGGCAAACAAAGCATGCTTCCTGCTTTCATGGAGCCTACAATAAGGGCAAGGAGATGGATGGTAAACAAGTGAACATACGAGGTGGACAGGGAAGCCCTATCTGTATACGTTTCTATTGAACTGAGAGCTGAATGAAGCGAGAAATTGTTGTTG